CGGCGGTCAATGGGCCATCGGGGGTCGATGCGTCCCCCCCTGAGCTTATCCCCCCACCTAGCGTCGCCCCCTGGCGTTCGGGTCATAACTCGGCTCTCTGGCGGCCGTTCGGGACGATCGGCCCCCCCCCCGGGAACGCTCTCGGCGAGGCTCTCAAAACTCCGACGTCGCAACTTGTGCCGCGACGTGGCCCCCAGCAGGTCTGGACCCCTTCCCTAGCGCCAGCTTTTCATCCCGGGTCGCTTCTTGGCGGTCCCGGGGCCCAGCGAGGGCCCTGGGAGGCGAAAGCGTGGCAAAAACCTCCCGTCGCGATTCGGGGGCGGAGCGGGGGCGAGGAGGCAGCGACGAGCGAGGTGAACAACTCGATGGCGACCCTGACTCCAGATCCGCCGTGCACTGATTGATTCTCCGCCTCAAAAAAAAAAGAAGTGCACCCCAAACGATGCGAAACGATAAGGCGGAAATCCCACCAGCCCTTTGGGCGTGAGTGGTTTAGAGAGCCCGCTCTGTCCTCAACCCCCCTTCTTCCCCTTCGGGGAGGGGTTTACCCCTCCCCCTACCCCCTCCCCCTGGACCTGGAGAGGGCGGGCCGAGCGTGATCAGGGGGGTCTTTTTTGACTCCTGGAAGGGCCAGAAAACGACGACCCTCACGAGGATTCTGGCCCCGACGGGGGGAACCACTTTGGCCCCTCTGCTCTTCTTGAAAGCCAAAATCATTGATTTTACTACGGTTTTGGCCTCATTTTGGCGCTCTGAGGGGGCCGCGCTCATCGTCCTTCATAGCAAAATCATTGATTTTACGAAGGTTTTGGGCTCATTTTGTCCTTCTCAGGGGGCAGCGCTCATTTGCGCTTCTGAGGAGGTCGCAAGAGGCCCCAAGATGGCCCCAAGAGGCCCCCAGGAGGCTCCCAAGAGGCCTCCAAGAGGCCCCCAAGAGGCCCCCAAGAGGCCCCCAAGAGGCCCCCAAGAGGCCCCCAAGAGGCCCCCAAGAGCCCCCAAGAGGCCCCAAGAGGCCCCCAAGAGGCCCCCAAGAGGCCCCCAAGAGGCCCCCTGAGGCCCCAAGAGGCCCCCAAGAGGCCCCCAAGAGGCCCCCTGAGGCCCCAAGAGGCCCCCAAGAGGCCCCCAAGAGGCCCCCAAGAGGCCCCCAAGAGGCCCCAAGAGGCTCCAAGAGGCCCCCAAGAGGCCCCACGAGCCCGAACGACTCACACCAGGGCGAGGGGCCCGAACGACTCACACCACGAAGAGCCCGAACGACTCACACCACAAAGAGGTTCCCGAACGACTTACACCAGGACGAGGCCCCCGAACGACTCACACCACGAGGAGCCCGAACGACTCACACCACGACGCGGGCCCCGAACGACTCACACCACGAGGAGCCCGAACGACTCACACCAGGAGGAGGGGCAGCGCTCATACAAGCCACCACGAGGAGCCCGAACGACTCACACCACGACGAGGGCCCCGAACGACTCACACCACGAGGAGCCGAACGAGTCACACCAGGAGGAGGGGCCCGAACGACTCACACCAGGACGAGGGGCCCGAACAACTCACACCACGAGAAGCCCGAACGACTCACACCAGGACGAAGAGCCCGAACGACTCACACCACGAAGAGCCCGAACGACTCACACCAAGAAGAAGGGCCCGAACGACTCAGACCAGGACGAGAAACCCCAAACGACTCAAACCACGAGGAGCGCTTTCTCTCCCTCCTCCTTCGCCTCGTCCTTCTCCCGCTCCCCCCACAAGGAGGATGTACAAGGAGGCGGAAGGAAGGAGGAACAGGGGAGATATGCGGGGCCAAGCGGACACACGCCTGAAAAACACGACTGTCGGCATGCTTCGCGAGAGTTGCTGCTGTGAGATGGGCTGGTGGGGATGCGCGAAGCGTAAAGAATTTTCTCCTCAAGAAAGTAGGGCGGATATCTCCGTGAAGGCGTGGCGGAAACAGCGACTGCAAAGTAGGGCGGAACTCGACACCAGAGCTTGAAAGGTAGGGCGCAAATTTCCGCCCTACTTTCGAAATCGCCCAAAGAATACGGCGGATCCGGAATCGGGGCCTGGGGCCCAGCGAGGGCCCTCGGAGGCCGAAAACTGCCGAACAGCTCCCGCCGTGGTGCCCGTGCACCGTACCCTGCCTGGACTCCTTTGAGGCCCCGCCCCCAACGTGGTACGGTGCACAATTTGGGGGCTCCTAAGGGCCGATAAACTATGCACCGTACCACTCCTGGGTCGCAGATCGACAACGCCTCGGGAGGCGCCATCGCGGTACGGTGCATACATATCGTCCGCGGAAGAGGTTGCGACGAGCAAGGCGAAAAACGATGGCGAGGGGGAGCCTTCGGCAGGGAGCCAGCCAGCGCCTGCTCCGCGGCCGCGGCCCCGGCCTTCGCCGCGGCCTTCGACATCGACGGGCCCTCGGCCTTCGCCGCGGCCTTCGACAACGCCGCCCCGAGGGCGTCGCTGGTGCCGTCAGGCATCGACGGCGGGGCCT